GAATAACATGGTTCCCACCATGTCGGACACGAGCATGCTCACCAAAACCAGTAGCTCCAGTTTGATCTTCAACCAAAAAAACTTCCGCTCTAGGTCCCAATAGCTGTGTTTCCATTGCAAATGTGTGCAAAACTTTGTTGATACTCCGTGAACGTCGAAAAAACACAGTTTCGCAACTGTTGTGTATCCATTAAGTAAGAAATGCTACTAAAGTCACGCGTGAATACGTTTGTTCTTGTGATAAGTCATTACAAACATGGCGGCAATGGATGTAAACACATAGCATATTGCTACCACGACACTAGCACTCATCATCAGGGGAGACATGTCTTTTATCGAGGCTTTCCAGCGACAAGCCCTTACTTGGGAGCGGCTACGTACTGTATGCTGTGCTTTTGGGAAATTGTAGTCGGTGAGTTTACTACTTTACTACTTATTTGACTACTTCTGTGATTTCACTACTATTTCTACCTCCTGTTATCTTCATCGTCATCTTTTTCACTAGTAGAAACAGCCGGTTGTTGATCACGTGACTCCCGTGATGCGCAAAAAGTGTTTTCATTGCAGTTTTGCAAAAAACACCAATTTCGATACGGCTGAAAAACCACCTCATCCTGGCGCAAAAACATTTTGTCGAAAAACTTTTATTTTTTCGAAATTGACGTGTTTCCATTGAGCAAATTTATTTTTGAAATTCAAATTTGCACATTTTCATGGTCAATGGAAATGCAGCTAGTGACACAGAGGCTTGCAGTTTTGTCACCTAAATTTTAAATATGKTCATAATAAGTGTCCAACAAATTTTCTCTCAAAATATTCAGTCATTGCAGACGTTTGCAGCAACAAACCCAACCAACTAGAGTCAAAAGAAGATTTGTTTTTGCACTAAAATAAATATCCGTAAACATTTACGGAAACAAATTGGTGTTTTTTACATATTGCTACCATGACACTAACGCTCATCATCAGAGGAGACGTAAATTCCTAACCTAAGGTGTCTATCAGGTGTGTTTTAAACATAGAATCTGAGTAGTGAGATGACAGCAGTAAAAATATTGACTGTAGTCAGCCTGTTTTTATATATATATAAATATTAAGAAAATGTTAAAAGATATCGAAAGGAAACAGGTTGAGGGATCCTGCTGACATTTTCTCTGAAAACCATACCAGACAGTGTCAGCTGTCAAGTGGTGAGATAGCATTTGGTGTCACAGAGTGTCATATTAGTGGCTGCTACGACCAAAAAGACAGTCAGAATGACGGAGCATCTTGCAGGAGTCACACCAGCCATAACGCCCGACAGCATTTTGATCCATATGAGTCAGAATACATTGTCACAACATTTCCATATATCAGAACTCATTCACATTGTGTGGCATGAACTCGCCAGTCAGAAAAGCCCATGAGCTCTTGGACCACGTGCATCCATAAATATGGTCTTTATTGTTATGACAACCAGACGCCCGTCACCCTGTTGCATAGAAAATAATTATCCACAGACTGACACGTAAAAGAGCTGCTTTTATTTCAGTTCCTATTGTAGTGTCTACTGAACCCCATCTTATCTAAATGACACAGACTCACACAGCAAAAAACATCAAAAGTTGTGTTGTTTTAGCTGGTAAAACAAGTCTGATTCAGAGACTGGTTTACAAAATAGATAAAATAAACTGATGTAGGTCTTGAAAAAATATTAACCCTTTCGTTCATAGAGGTCACTACAGTGTACAGCTGTTTAAAAGTGTTTTTTTTTCTATATATATACCTGCAATTTTGGGCAGTGTTGCATATAATCCACTCTAGTGGTAGTGGAAGCTATTACATCATCCCATACAAAAAAATCCTATTGGCTGGTCATTGCAATGGGAAAAAATAGTCAGTCAAGTCAGGCCAAGATGGCTGACAGATGGGGAGAACGACCAAACACCTTGGCTATCTCAGTTTCTACTTTCCATAAAAAGATACCATTGCAGGTAAAAAAATATGATTACATCAAGTAACATGTAAGGTGACATATTATGTAATGATTTTCCAAGTTTTGAGTTTATATTTGTAGAAAATACAGATTAAACACGTCCACTCACTTGTACATCATGCATCTACGTTTTAACTTCAAGGCAATATCAATTATTACCAATGTTGTTCTTGAAAATAATTCATATCCTATACTGTTTTGGTTGTAAATCAACTTTATAGTATAATAATGTAATTTTATTCTTTATATATAAATTTTTATACAGTGTCTGGTCAAAAAATATTATACATGCTATAAGAGAGATTGCTATGAGAGCATATGCTCAGTTCAGACTTAAGAATTCATTCAGATAAAAAACAGTTACAGTCAAGAATCTATAAGGATCTACAGTTCAGAGTACGGCTGCACGATGTCAGAAAACCCTGCKATGTGTGACAACAGTGCTTAATATTGCGATGACGATATGACTTGCGATAAATGAACAAATACATAAGTATGTAGTGTTGATGTTTTCTGAGTTCTGAGCAAAAAAACAACAAACAAACAAACAAAACTAATCATTTTCATTCTAGTATGAATTAAAAAAAATATGTAGAATAATATATGAAGGGCTCCATTTGATTGGTGAAATACTTCACGCTTCCGTCTGAGTGACAAAACTCATAAATGCAAACAGTTCATGCATTTGTTGCAATATGCATATTGCACAAGTAGTTATTGCGATGACGGTACATTTTCAATATATTGTGCAGCCCTAGTTCAGACTGGGACTTGTGTCACACTATCCTCCTTAGTTCAGAGAGAATATATCTTTATTTTTTAACCTTGTTTTACATCCCTAAAGATTAATCAAAATGCCTAGTGAAAACATAATTTTATKTTTATGTTAACTTTTACATTTATCAATAGAGAAGGACTACAGAGTAGTGGAAGAACCACCATTCCAACAGAATACCATATTACATCTGTATAACTAAATTACAACTGTACCTATATTATTACCATGTTATTACAGTTGTGTTTTTTACAGTACAAAATGCATGAAGTGCACTTGAGTGTACAGATAATTATTTCTTTGAAAAAATAAAGATAGAAGAAATATTTTTCAAACCTTGTTTTACATCCCTAAGGATGTATAAAAATACTTAGTAAAAAATCCTGACTGAGTTTATCATAATTGAGGAGCCTGGCATTTCTTAAAGGGATGTATCACCCTGCCTTTGATGCCAGGGTTTTACACAAAGATCAATTTGTAGTCACTTGGTCAAACCCTGTGTTATTATGCTATAATGTAAGACATCACGTGTGTTGTGAACAACTCTCACTTATAACCACACTTACTGCACAGCTGACCAGATTAAAACTATTTTTGTGCTGGTTATGCTGATTAGCTGTGGCTGCTAATGATATTCTGTTGTAGACAAACATCCAATAGAAGTTTCACTTGAATMTTTCCAGTGGTTTATGAGATATTTTGCTAACACACACACACACACACGGGCAAAACAACTGCTCCTGTTTTGACGGCCACTATTACATATATTGAATATGCTCTTAAAATATTACAACACTTTTATTTAAGCAATAATATTACAACTAGTTGGATTTCTGGTTTGGAATAAAAGCGATGAAATTGTATGATACAGTATATGTTTAATTTCTGTTTTATTACCATAATAAAGTGAAACTCCACCACAACATTTTAAATAATGAACAGGAGAAACGCRTGTTTCCTTGACCATCATGCCTTTATTATAAGTGTTATAAAAGTTTAAAAAAATTATTAAGGGTCATTATTGTACCTTTTATGCAAAATTTACAAATTCTGAGTATTTGTCTGTATTCCTGTTTCTCCCCTGCTGTTTGTTCCACTAACCCTTTCTTTTTTCCTAGAATGAAATCAAGAGAGTGGTCTGTTGGGTGGTGCTGTCAGTGGTGCAGCTGGGATCAATACTCCTGATGAGGCTGCACGGTATTTAAGGCTCAGCTGAACCACTATTCTTCATTAGATTGTTCATCTTCACACAGTGATCATCCTTGTTTCAACCTCCTAACTCCTAAGCAGAGTGGGAGAAAAGTAATTGTGTTATAAGAACTTACATGTGTTCCTCCATAGAACTCTCTGTGTGCTTCCTGGAACTGTGAACTTTCCATGGAAGAACCTACCACTGTCATCTGTTTCCCTCCACAGGCAGAAAAAAGTCAGCTTGGCCCACCCCTCAGCCTGTCAGTCCACTCTCATCTCATCTAACCTTCTCTGGACGGGTACTAGATTCCTTTGCTTTTCCTTTTAAGTCCAGTAAATAAAAACTTAAATAAGATACACTGCTATCATTATCTGATTCTCTGTTTACCTTGAGATCACCACAGGGTCGAGCATATTCAGTCGACAGCCAATCAGTCAACACGCACGTGGCGTGTTCCACATGGCGATGGGCTTGTTTTCACTTACATTTCTATAGTCTAACAAAAACATACAGCACAAAGCTCCTGTTAAACCCCTCCCACTGTGGTACACGTGTTTCTTCCTGCTGGAGTCCTTACTCTGATATCCACCGTTACTTTGGCCACAAATCTGTCACGATTAAAGCACTGCACCTTTTGGCAGTTTCCTCTGTGCAGAACACCAGTGATACAGTATYTCCATTTATGGGGTTGGGGCTATTTGACCGTCTTCATAAATGTTTGCTTCCAGATATAACAGACAGCTTCTGGAAGCAGAGTAGTTGTAACAAAATTCTACCATTGCTGAACAACACATTTCTGCAAACAAGCCCACATATTTCTGACCAGTTACACAATAATTCCACATACAGGAGAGAGCAAAAAATATGTGACTAAGGCCTTGTACCAAGAAGGGGCAAGTGACGAGAGGCGACAACAAAATGGTGTGATTTTTGTTATGCAACTAYGTAATTGGGAGCGGATCTCACAGGTTTGGTGAGACCAGAGGTTCCCAAAGTGAGGGGGCATGCCCCCTAGGGTGGTGCACAGTGGTACTGCAGGGGATGGGCCCAGCACCTGATAAATGAATGCTTGGTGTCATTTTTTTACTTAACAAACTTAGATTTTATTTTCCTCTCAGGAGAATTGATTTAATTTATTTTATTTTATTTCAACCTCTATTTTATTTCAGTTTACTTTTATTAGTTGAATTGTTCAAAAAAGGTCTGTGGTGTGACATAAACTACAACGGAGTCAGATAATTTTTAGTGGTAACAAATTATTTGTGTGTCTGGTTGTGTGCGGTCAGGGGTATTTTAACTAAAAGCGAGCTCGGCAGAACAAGCTTGGGAAGCACTACGTTAGACCATGTGGAGGCCTTCACTCTGGCCACATTGCTTCCTGCAGGTTCAAGCATTCTCCATCTTTCCTGTAAAGTTTACAATAGTTCCTAACTTACTGTCTTCCCATAGATCACATCATTGATCCTCAGAAAACTCACCATGTGTGTAAACATTGCTTAGATACGATAATATTATTTTGATCTTCAATAGTTTATACATTCAGGTGCTTCAAAAAYGGTGAACTCTGTATCCTCTAGGACTCAAATGAATAAATAATGTCTGAAAGGTTTCTATATTGTATAAGACGTGGTGAATCAGATTTAATGTACCTCCCAGACCAGATTTTTTATGATTTTTATCATTGCAGTCCACTGTTTCATTCATGCTCGAAATGGGAAATTGAATGGATTGACACATTTCCTTCCTTGTTTCCTTCTTTAATGGACTTAGAGGAAGCAGAAAAGAAAGAAAGGACTAGCAAATAGAAAAACTCTGATGAAAATAATTAGCAATGCTCTCCTCTCGTTGCAGGAGCAAATGCATACTGTACATTTTTTCCTTTGCACCCTTTTTTCACGATCATGTAATTGCACAACAAGCTGCTCCTGTTCTTCTACTCTGTTCCCATGACTTGGTTGGAATCAGAAGCTGCAGCCTTTTTCCCCTTTAATTTTCTACAGGAAACAAATCTTGGGCTCATGTAATTGGTTTTGGCTGATTGTCTTTGTCGGCACAGTGCAGTTTTACACGACTGAGAACATCTTCATGACAAGCCGAGCTTGTTTTCGCTTTGTTTTTCTCACTGTGGCCTTACAGCCGCAGCTTCACAACTGATGCTTGTGTCCTGTGTTTGAGAGACAGTAAAATAGGCAAATGAAAACCAAGAAGATTATTTGTCACTCAGCAGCAGACCGCAGACTGGGGTGTATAATTACCACTTACTGCACAATCAGCTGTCTTGTCACTCCCACTGTGCCAGAGCTCTTCACATTGCCATTTAAATTGCTGAAGGGATTTTTTTTCTCTTCTCAGTATGGTTAAGACATCTTACATCATGTTTTTATTGTTATTATTGACACATTTCGTTTTTTTTTTTCAATTAATTTTTACATCTGAGGCAAACATTTTCCTGATGTTTATCGTTATATTTCCTTCTTGACAGACTTGTTTTTTTTTCCTTAAGCGTGTCACACCCCCCCCCCCCCCCCCCCCCCCCCAGCTTCACTCTCTCTCCTCCCTCTTTGCTGTGCCAGCACATTGAGCAGCTGTGAGGGCTGTTGTTTAATGGGGTGGCTGGGGTTTCAGGCTCATATGAGAGCAGTCAATATTTCATGTATCTGTACCTGGAAGGAGGCACAGAGGGCAGTGAAAATTTAAACAGGCCAAGATGTTTGACAACAGAGCGTCGCTTTTAAAGGGAAGCTTCCGACGAAAAGTGGACAGTCTGCGAAAAAGTTACGAGCAATTTATTGCTCATAGCATCAATTATTGTCATTTGTTGTCGATGACTGTTTGAACAGCTTTATGTCGCGATWAGGAGGCCCATCTCTTGTTCTCTTAAATACTATTAATGAAAACTTACCTCAGTGGTTGGTGCTGTGGCCTTGTACTGAATTTATGAAAGTATAATACGAAAAATTAAATCAATAAAATTATCCACAAAGTTGGGGGTGCTATAGTAATATACACAGATCAATTTTTTTGCTAATGTATTTTCTTGTATATAACAGAATTATTAGCTTTATGTTATGTTGAAACCAGGCATACCATTGCTTTTTCTTGTGAAATTCTCATTATTGTATATATTATATTCTCAACGAGCTGCCAGCCAGGCTGATGGTGCAATTCTACACGGCCATCATGGTCCATCCTCAGCTCCTCCATCACGGTGTGGCATGCCGGGGCCACTGCCAGGGACAGACACAGACTGCAGCGCGTTGTGCGCTCTGCTGAGAAAGTGATCAGCTGCAGCCTCCCATCTCTCCATGACCTGTACGTCTCCAGGACTGTGAGGCGAGCAGGTGGGATCACAGATGACCCTCCTCACCCTGCACACAGCCTGTTCATACCCCTCCCCTCAGGCAGAAGGTTTTGGTCCATTCAGACCAGAACATCCCACCATAAGAATAGTTTGTTCCCCTCTGCCGTTGGACTCTTGAACATTTAGAATCACGTCACTCTAAAACTCTGCCTTGACCACTTTATCACTGATTTTTAAATTGCACAACTCTGACTATATTGTTTTACTGGTCACTTTTATCACTGAATCTAACTGCACTACTACAACTATATTGTCTTCTCTGATTACTGTATTGAACTGGTGTACATATGTTTTACATATTTTTATTATATTTCTTACTTTATCCGTTGTATTTTCTTTATTTGTTATATTTTATACTTATTGCACCTTTACACCAAAGCAAATTCCTAGTTTGTGAATCATGTTCATTGACAATGGCAATGAAACTGATTCTGATTCTGAAAAGTTTGATGTGTCACATGATCCTCTTCCCATTGAAGAGACTAAAGTCGGATCCAAAATGGCCACCATGGTCACCACCCATCTTGAACCCCCCCCCCAAAAAAAAAATAAAATACTGCTGTGCCACAAACAGGAAGTTAATATCACCAACCATTCCCATTTTGTTTAGATGTATTCATATAAATGGCTCAGCCTGTACATAWATCATATTATAATAGTATAATAGTATATAAATACGGCAGTCCTGATATTAAAGGTTCAAGCCCAGGTTGCATCAGGAAGGGCATCTGGTGTAAAATAATTGCCAAATATTTGGTGCAAGTTCCCTCATTTTGTGAGCAGTCGAAAGAACAACAATAATAATAAAAAGAAACAGTCCAATGGTTAAACAAACTTTATTTTTCATCTTTCAGTAGATAGTACTGCTTTGTGACAGAACTTTAAACAAAGTGAGATGATCCCGTCTGCACAGACACCAGCGCCAGTCATCGGGCTGTTCAACATGAAGGCAAACAAAGGTTTGATAACAAACTCAAGAGAAAACCTTGAAGGTCAGTCTGCAGCTCTTGAGTTGTCAGTTCACTTTTGTGTCTGCCGTACATGACTCTCCCACTCTCCTCCTGTTTGTCTAGTTTTTGTTAACAAAAGTAAAGGAATGCTTTTGCTCAGAGTTGTATTTGTAAGTCCAACAGACAAGAGAAAGAAAGAGAGATAGTAAAAAGAAACTTGAAGAAGTTGAAGAACAACTTGGACTCTTGCTCCATCAACGAGTTGCTGCCAAACTCCTTGAAGATGTCACTGCATCGCAGCAGGCTCACTTTGACAAAAAAAACTGACTACCAACCTTCAAAGGGCTCTGAGCCTCAACCTGCCTCCTCACTGTGGTTCGGTTTAGTTTGAACCAACCTCTAGAGTTTCACAAAAATAAAATGACAGCTGACCACACAAACAGCCTCAGTCCAGACAGTCTATCTGGTGATAAGAGAAAACAATTTGGATCTGATTATTAAAAGTAATTACCAATCTGATACTTCAGGAATAATCTGACAATCTGGCAGAATTGTTAAACTCCTTCTGTACCAAATCTCAAACTGTGCTATTTATCAAACTTGCTCAAAGATAAAAACAACTATTTATTGCATGTACATTTCTAAAGTACAGAAAACATATTCACACTGTGGCCCACATGTGCAGCAGCATGATGTCACATACAGAATACTATTCAGTTTAATGTTATACATGTTAGCATGTATGTATTGATTGAGATGTTGCAACTAAATTCTCAACTAAATGCTTGTTTTGTATAATCAGTGTGTATTGCATTGGCAATGCACACTATTGTTTTCCTGTTTCTCTTTAATCAGTGTGCATTGCCAATGCAATGCACGCTATTGTGATTCATTTCCCATCCAAGTCATCTCAACTTTGCCATGCTTCTCCTCCTGCATACTTTGTCCTAGARCTGCCATTGTAATTTATATCTGTAAAGCTCCTGTGCCAAATGATGGCTATGCCTTTTGGTGCCTGTAAAACTTATAGTTTATGAAATATTAATGTTTCATGAATTATAATGGCAGTCAATAGAGCCTTGTATTGGTCCAATACTGCCCCATGATGTACTCAAGTTGGTACTGCACCATAGTTTAATATTTCAACTCAGTAGTTCAGTGTTTACTGTACTAACATGATTGTATTTCGATGTTTTACTAAATCATTATCTTAATATTGCTCGATTGTTGTAATATTATGCATTTTTGTGTCAATAATTGTATTGGCAGTGTGGCGTCTTTCTGCACACATACAAACCAACCCCTGCCACCACCATCTTCTACCACAGGTCCATTGGTCTAATGGTCTATGTCATGGACTTACATGTGGGAGATCAGGGTTCAAAACCCAGTTAATGCAACTTTAACAAAAAATCTCTTCAAATTTCATATTGTCACACAATTACCTTAATTACAAACACCTGCTGACATGACAGGCACAAGCTGGTATACAAAACACATTTGAACGTGGTCAAAGTTCATTCTGCAAGTCCAATGCTGCAGGCAAATCCATGCTGCAATGACATGCAACATGGCAATGCACACTTRTTTTTACATCGTAAAAACCCATGTCTAGTTATTGTTCAACTTATTATTCCATCTTCTTCCACCTCGCCATGCCATGCTACTCCTCTTGCATACTTTTTCCTACAGCTGCCATTGTAATTTGTATCTGTAAAGCTCCTGTGCCAAATGATTGCTATGTCTTTTGGTGCCTGTACCACTTGTACACTATACTGTACTTCCTATAGTCTCATGATGAGCATTGTGGGCTTTCATGCAGGAGATCAGGGTTCAAATCCAGCTACTGCAACTTTAACAGAAATCTCTTCAAACTTCATATTGTCACATAATTACCTTAAATGCAAACACCTGCTGACGTCACAGGCACAAGCTGGTATAGAAAACACATTTGAGCTACTCCTCCTCCTTCCTTTGTCCTACAGCTGCCATTGCAATTTATATCTATAAAGGTCCTGTGCCAAATGATTGCTATGCCTTTTGGTGCCTGTAACACTTGTAGTTTTTGAAATATTAATATTTAAACTTTATTCCAAATTCATATAATGGGAGTCAACTAGGCCTTGTAATGGTCCAATACTGCCCCCAGCTGTACTCAACTTGGTACTGCACTATAGTTTTTTATATTTAATCTCAATAGTTCAGTCTTTACAATACTAATATGATTGTATTTTGATGTTTTACTATATCATTGTCTTAATACTGCTCTGTTGTTGTAATAATATGTAGTTTAGTGTCAATAATTGTATTGGCAATGTGGCCTCTTTCTGCACACATACAAACCAACCCCTGCCACCACCTTCTACAACAGCTCCGTTGGTCTAATGGTCTATGTCATGGACTTTCATGTGGGAGATCAGGGTTCAAAACCCAGCTAACAGAACTTCAACAAAATATCTCTGAGCCACTCCTCCTACATACTTTGTCCTGCAGCTGCCATTATTCCAAATTCATATAATGAGAGTCAATGGGGCCTTGTAATGGTCCAATACTGCCTTCAGCTGTACTCAAATTGGTACTGCACCATAGTTTTTTATATTTAATCTCAATAGTTCAGTGTTTACAATACTAATATGATTGCATTTTGATGTTTTACTATATCATTATCTTAATATTGCTCTATTGGCGTAATAGTATGCAGTTTAGTGTCAATAATTGCATTGGCAATGTGGACCCCTTCTGCACACATACAAACCAACCCCTGCCACCACCATCTTCTGCCACMGCTCCATTGGTCTAATGGTCTATGTCATGGACTTASATGTGGGAGATAAGGATTCAAAACCCAGCTAATGCAACTTTAACAAAAATCTCTTCCAACTTCATATTGTCGCTCAATTACCTTAATTACAAACACCTGCTGAGGTAACAGGCACAAGCTGGTTTAGAAAACATATTTCAACTTGGTCAAAGTTCATTCTGCAAGTTCAATGCTGCAGGCAAAGCCATGCTGCAATGACATGCTACATGGCAATGCACACTTGTTTTTACATCGTAAATACCCACGTCTAGAGTTTGTTTGATTTTGTAGTTTTCAGCCTTCTACAGTGCACATGATCTTTTAGAATGAGAGTGATGTACCGAAAGTAGAGGTGACAAACAAGCTAAAGTACTGATTCCATCATGCTAAWATGAATACAATCCAACACATTGGTATACCAGCGTTAGAATCATATGTTGGTAACTTCTCAGTCATCCAGGACACGAAATATGTAAAATGTTATAAATAAGAAATCAACTGCAATTCTAAGCAATTATAAGCTTTAAACTGCATGATTTTGTATCAATTAATAATTTGGATTGATCCATACAAACCTACCTGCAGTATGTAATGAAAAAGTTAGATGAAATGCAACATGACCATTCACACTGCAAGCACTTTGAAAAACGTTGGATCTCTATCCCTTTTATGTTTTTGAACACTGTTTGCATTTTGCAGATTTTCGTGGAAGTTTAAATTCCTGCCACCTGTAAATACAGACATTATGAGTAATTTTGTTATGTAGCTTTCAAACTTTTTTAATGAAAGTACAACTCTGTGGATAAAAAGAGTGTTTGATTTCTTCCTGCCAAGTTGCATTCCTCCACCTGAACTCAATCAGCCATTCAGCTCATGCACACAGAGCTTACTGTTGGCTCATCATATTGGCTTTTATTGCTCAGACAATAACTCACAATCAGTTCAGAGCTCTCTCTTTATCCACCTCTGGTTTGYTTCATCTGCTTAGACTTGGTGGCTATAAACAAAATGATGTGATCAAGTTTGGCCCTGAAATTCATAACTGTTTATTTAAATGGTAATGGGGGAACAATGCTGTTTTTAGAATTTTGCAACCGTCCTTGCTCTGCTGTCGTTGCATATATGTAAGTAAATATGTGTTAACAAGTTAAAGCAAAGTCCAACTTTAAAAGTGGTTTGGAAATGCAAATCTTCTCAGGCTGGATTAAAATAACCCAATCCTTTTTTATAAACTTTTTGGCAAATATTCGACAAATTAAACTGACTAAACAAGCCAGACTTGCTTGGATGACAAACTTGGGCTGCATTTGAACAGATGGAAAAAAAAATCTGGTTTTAATGTCATTGCTTGCATTAAATTTTGATGACCTGAAACAAAGTTTAACAGAGTTTAATTTCTGTCTTTGGGCTAAATTTGAAGTATAGCAACAGGTTGTACTGTTTTTAGTATCACAAAAGAGGGTTTGAGTCTAAATAGTATGATAGGCAAAACCAGCATAGTAACAGGGAATATGTATAATTTTCTTTAAATTGTCTACAAGTTTTCATCCACAGAAAAATAATTGAAAAGTAGAGAATTTACAGCATGAATGCCTAATGCTAAAAGATATTTGCTGAAAAAAATTTACAAAAATGTTGTGATTTGTTGTAAAATAGCCAAAAATGCTGAAATCAGCTATAAAAAAGTAGCTGAAAATGTCATGATTTGTCATTTTCCAACTTGGTTTTCCTTGTGTTTCTATGTTCCCCAGTGTGTCTCAGTCCAGCTGACCCTCATTTGTTTGATTAGTCACCCTCGTGTTTCTCACCAGGTGTTCTCAGTTTGTCCATTAGCTGTCAGTGTATTTAAGTTCTGTCTTGTCTCAGTCTGTTGTCAGATCCTTGTTTGCTGTTTGTGCTCATGTCATGTCATGCCTAGTCAAGTTTTTGTATTACCAAGTCAAGTTTTTGTATTACCAAGTCAAGTTTTTGTATTACCAAGTCAAGTTTTTGTATTACCAAGTCAAGTTTT